AAATCCCATTGAAACAACGCCATTTGTCAGTTCAGCTGGTTTATAAACCAGTGCACTTTTTTCTTCTGAAATATTCAGATTTATGGGTGTCTGTATGGATAATACTTACGATCATTAAACAGTGCAAATTTTGTGAAAATAGGAAAACACCAGTGTATCGACACAAAAACACTTGTCACTGTCACACACTAGTCCTGAGCATTTGAATTTCAATTTCAAACAAGCGCATAGCTGAATTCCTGTAACAATTCGGGCTTGTGACAGGCAAACGAAGCATAAGACAATCTGTTGTGTACCTATACCCATTCGGTCATTTTGCTTGTTGCATGACGGATGTACTATGCAGGGACACTTTCTGCACTTCAGGTAAATCTTCAACTAGATCGGTGAGTGTCGCTGACTCGCTGGGAATGCATTCTTCTTTGTCTTTTTTCACTCAGTCGGCGTATCTCATTAAGTTTTCTCCGTTCTTGAGCGGCAGTGGCACAGATCAAGCGTTTCCTCAATTCGCTGGTTGCAATCTACACATTGTTCTTGGTTGCTTTTGCCATTCTGTTTTTTTTTCATTGTAACCACTAAAATGATGCAGGACACACATACGTCTGTTAGCACTAGTCATACCCACACAGTCCTTGTAATGAATATTTCTTAGTGGCGCCCTTTCTGCTTTCGCTGTGCCAGTAGATGTAATCTGTGAATTCCGGGTTATAGAAAGTTATTACCGGACGTTTTTCCGCCTCCCCAAGAACCGCCGAACTCTAGTTGCAGGGAAGTTGAAGCACACTTTTTTTTTTTTCAATAGCTCAGGAAAACTGAAGTCGTCCGAAGGAGCTGGGACCTCTCCGGCATTATTCTTGCAGATCGCAAGGCAGCAGCAGTTGGTTGTTGTACAGGTGCCCTTTATTTTGTGGCTTCATTACAATTACACTGATAAATCTGGAAATAATCAAGGAACTTCATCACTCCTTGATGCCCATGCACTTTGGTCGATTTAGACTTTTCTATTCAATATGATATCGCTTTCTTGAGAGTAAAAAACTTCCCCCTTGCGCGTCTTTCCCTGACTTTCCCACGGATCTTTCCCACTTCTGCAGTAACAGCGCGGGTCGGACGTCGAGGAGCAGTGGCGTTTTTAGGGGCTTTTCTTCTACCCGCTGGTGCGAGCGGTCACAAAACCAAGGAGGATATAAAAACTTGCTGGAGTGGAAGCGACGCCCGTCAGGTGACGCCAGCGGCAGCCATCTTGCCGGAGGCAGAAAGCGCGCTGCCGGTGTGTCGCCTCCACGCTTCGTTGCTGGTGCACGCTGTTCTCTTCAAAGTTTCAATGAGTGCAAGTCTTGCTCTTGGATAATGGTTACCTCCTGCGTTGCCTACGGATGCACAAACAGGCTGAAGAAAGGTTCTGGCCTCACATTTCACCTGTAAGTACATGAAATTTAGCGTGTTCTACTCGCGGTCATTTCAGCCGCATTGTAGTTGCTTGCAGGCCCGCGCATGAAAGAGCAGCAAAATGGCATTGTGTGTACGTGTGCCGCAGTTGATTGTCGTATATTTCTTGACAGGTTTCCAAAGAATGCAGAAGTTCGGAGTCTTTGGGAGCGGGCAGTTCGCCGTGAAGGGTGGCGCGCTAAGGATGGAGACCGCCTGTGCTCTGTACATTTCAGTCCTGAGTGCTTTGACCGCACTGGGCAAACGACGCGACTGCGGGTGGGAAGTGTGCCCACGTCGTTTCCAGCTTTTCCGCCTCATCTGCAGAAACCTGTGAGTATTACTGCCATCGTTGGACGAGAAGCGTAATGTTTAGCGTGCATAACGCTTGTGGCGTTACGGCCGCTACATAATACTTGTTCCACGAAATGTTGTTGCGAGTATACGTGGCATTGATTGCGTGCCGAGAATTGGCGGTACTGTGGAGGAGTAGCTGTAGTTTTAGCATATCGTTACCGTGTTTGCGTTACCGTTTACCGCATTACCGGACGCCGCCGGCGAAGGTGAAGTTACCGGTAATGGTAACTGCTTCACCTTCGCCTTAACTGGTGATCAAGATACATATTTATTTATTTATTACTGCTGACCTGTTTACCAGGTCTTAAGCAGGAATGGGCATGCAGCAATGTTTACTACAAAAACATTATTGACATCCACAGCGTACTGACAGTGGTTACAATTCAATACTTAAAGGCACATCCGGCGAATGGAAAGTATTACCAGAGCGGGTGCATGTCCTTTTTGCTGGCATACAATGTCTCGTGCACGATTATGAAAAAGCTTGTTACTTAATACATTTATTTCTTCAAAGAAAATGTGTAGCTTAATTGTACCCACATTATACGTGTGAGGTTTCATTTAGTTTTTGCGCTTGCTGCCTTTTTAGCTCGTCTGAAAAAACGTATGCTTTCAAACCCAGGTCAAACGGAAGCGTCCCGACCCCAAGTCTCGAGATTTCCCGGCCCCGCCTGGTCCTGAGTGTTCTGGGTTGTGCGACCTGCCTGGAGCTGAAAATTTTCCTGAACACTCGCCAACCAAACAGTTCTACAAAGACAAGGTCCTTTCCTCACAAGAAGAGATAACCCAGTTGAAGAAGAAGGTCAAAACACTGCAACAAACTAAACGAAGGCTGGTCAAGAGAAATGAAAGCGCCCAAGAAATCATCAAAGAAATCAGAGAGCAAAAACTCTTGTCAGAAGAAGGCTCGCATGTGTTTTCATCTGTTTTCTCGGATGACATTCAGCAACTACTTTGCAGGGTGGGCAATGAGCAGAAGGGCAAGTACCCACCTGAGCTGCGAGCATTTGCACTGACTTTGCATTTTTACAGTCCAGACGCGTACGAGTATGTACGATCCAAGTTCAACGAAGCCCTCCCATCCCAGCGAACACTAAGGGGCTGGTACAAGTCGATTCAAGGAGCTCCTGGCTTCACAGCCGAAGCATTTGCTTTCCTTGAGAAGTTTGCGGAAGCACGTGATGAACCCTTCTACTGCGCTCTAATTGTAGACGACATGGCCATCAGGAAACACGTAGAGCTAGTTGGAGATAAGGTAGTAGGGTATGTTGACTTTGGAACTGGGCTTGACGATGACGGTCTTCCTGAAGCTGCAAATGCGTGTGTCTTCATGATCGTTGGAATCAACGTCAGATTTAAGATGCCAGTTGGATACTTCTTAATAGACTCACTCACAGGAGCAGAGAGGGCCGAGCTGGCCAAACAGTGCATTGAGAAGCTTGCGTTGGTGAAGGCTGAAGTAGTCTCTCTCACATTTGACGGAGCCTCGTCGAATTTCACTATGGCCAGGTGTTTAGGTGCTCAACTTCGTGTTGACTGTGAGCAAATTTCTTCAGGCTTTGTGAACCCAGCTGACGATGCTAAGAATGTTTACATTATCCTAGACGCCTGCCACATGATTAAGCTTATCCGCAATTCCTTGGCGAACTTAAGCTACATTGTTGATGCTGAAGGAAAGCACATAAAGTGGGCCTACATAGTGGCATTGGAGGTATTGCAGCGTTCCGAAGGGCTGCGGCTGGGCAACAAACTCACGAAAGTCCACGTGCAATGGGAAAAACAAAAGATGAAGGTGCGATATGCTGCGCAAGCATTGAGTTCCTCTGTGGCCGACGCCTTGGACTTCTGTGAAAATGTGCTGAAGCTACCCCAGTTCCGGGGCGCCAGTGCAACATCGAAGTTCGTGAGGGTCTTCGATCACCTGTTCGACCTTTTTTATTCTAGGAACCCTTTTGCAAGGTCGTACAAGGCTCCTCTGCGGAAGCAGAATGAAGCCTGCTGGAAGCCATTCTTTGCCTACACCCAAGCGTATATAAAGGGATTGAGAGATCCGGCTGGGCGGCCAGTTTTAGAAGGCTTGAAAAAAACTGGTTTCGTGGGCTTCTTGATCTGCATGGCGAGCACTGAAAAAATGTTCGACGAGCTTGTTGGCCAGGGTAAGCTGAAGTACTTGTTGACGCACAAACTGAGTCAGGATCACGCTGAGAACTTCTTCGGATCTGTTCGTGGCCGAGGTGGGTATAACAACAACCCAACCGCTGCTCAGTTCATAGCAGCATACAAGCGTTTGCTGGTGCAAACAGAAGTGACGTCTTCTAGCTCGGGAAACTGCACCAAAGACATGGTTTCCATCCTGAATGCCACTACTGTTGTCGCCCAGGTAGACGCAACAAGTGCGCTCACAGACATGCGCAGGTCCTCGATCTTGGAGCCTCACGATGACCACGACTACACGCACCCTCAAAACCTTTCTGCCGTAGTTGTTGCGGTGGTGCCTTATATCGCAGGCTTCGTTGTACGCCAAGTGTGCAAGACAACAACATGCGAAGAGTGCATTGCAGCCCTGTACTCAGATGAGCTAGTTCCCCTAGTTCAGCAGAAAAACAGAGGTGGGCTTGTGTCCCCGTCCAAGGATGTCATTGGCTTGTGTGAAGCCGTTGAAAAGGGGCTGCGACGGCTACAGATTGAGTGTGGAACACTTCAAGCAGTTAACTCCCAGTCAAAGCATCTCGTTTTGGAAGTGCTACGACTGTCTGTAGAGGAAAAATGGTTTCAGAAGCTAGAGCAGCACATTCTTGACCTTGATCCCCTCGACAATCATATCTACAGCTTGTGCAAAAAAGTTGCGGAGCTGTATGTGAAAATCCGCATCCACCATATGACAAAAGAAAGAAACCGCGAGATCATCAAGGACAGGGTCAGGCCAGTTCTTTCAAGAATGATCATTTTCAAACATCAGTGAGTCTCCCCGCACTGCTCGTTTCGGCTATACTGTTCGCATATATTTTTAATGTTTGTGTGATTGTGTTTTTTCTGCCATTTTCGAGTTTCTCAAAGCGTTATCGTAGACCATTTCGCCACCAAAAAGCAAAGAATAAATGCTTACAACCTGACACAACTGTTTTTATTGCTTTGAAGACGCGAGAAACTGCACCTGCTGCTTAGATAAGCGCGAGCGCAGCTGTACTCGGCTGTTTCTTGCCTCTGCCAAGATGGCCGCCGGCGGCTCGGCGCGGCTTCACCCCCTCCCATGGGTAAGCATAGGCGGCTTCCACTCCAGCAAGTTTTTATATCCTCCTTGCACAAAACACATCGTTATGATGTCCGTAGGGTCTTAGCTATGGCGCACGGGATGGCAGCTACAGTAAAATTGACCTTAGGATACGTACACGTGGTCAATGCTTAGATCTCGTGCCCGCGATATCAACAATCGGAGAGTTTCTTACGTCGTGGATGTCTGAGTATCTTCGTCATTGTAGGCGTCGAATTGTCTTCAGAAGACCATGGAAGCATGCCATGCGACGAGACATACCCACAGAAAAAAAAAGTGCGACCTAACACCAGCACGGAACGCATGAAAGTGCAGCGGCAGTAGTGAGGCCAGCGGGAAGCAGCCGGTTACTTGGCGCCATGGAGGAAACCTTTCGCCATGCTTGGCGCAAAGGTAGCATATACAGTCTCTCTAGCGATGGATGGATGGATGGATGGATGTGGCTGTACCCTTTAGATCGGGTGGCGGCTAACGCCACCCAGCCATAATATTTAGTGAACTAACCACTAGATTTATCTTTTTTTTTCTTTAAATAGTAAAATTGAGGACTGGTACTTTGCAGTGAAGGGTTTCATTTTCACTCGTGCCTTGACTTTAGCCACCAATCAGACAACCTTATTCTAGTTAAATTCTACCCGCTTAAAGTCTATTTTGCCCTCCCTGTCCCTAAACCCCAGTGCTTTGAAAAATTCTGTGCCATCCTCCTGAACTATAGGGTGAAGACCATTATCAAGTGTTCGGCAGTTCCCTCCTCCTCTCCACATGCAATGCATACCGTGTCTACCCCTTCGTATTTGGCCCGATAAGTCTTGCTTTGCAATACTCCCGTCCTGGCCTCAAACAGTAGAGAACTACCCCGGGTATTATCATAGATCCTTTCCTTGGCAATTTCCTGCTTAAAAGTTCGATAGATCTCTAGTGCGGACTTGTTAATCATGCCAATTCTCCACATGTCAGTCTCCGTTTCCTTCACTTTCTTCTTAACCAATAGTTCTTTTCGGTTTGGTCCCCTGCTGTTTTCTAAGTATTTACCAGTCAATTTCCTGGTTCACTTCCTGCATTTTGTATCGACATTCTTCATGTGCAAGTAGCCGAAAACCTTCCTAGCCCAGCGCTCCTCCATTTCTCTCAATCGCTTCTCAAATTTTATCTTGCTGCTAGCTTCCCTGCCCTCAAATGATGTCCATCCCGTATCACATTGTACTCCCTGATTTGGTGTATTCTCGTGAGCTCCTAAAGCAAGCCTACCTATTCCACGTTGCTTAATTTCTAATCTTGCTTGAACTTCTGATCTCATGCACAAGACCGCATTTCCAAACGTCAGACCAGGAACCATGACCCCTTTCCATATTCCTCTCACAACATCATACCTATTGTAATTCCACAGTGCCCTATTTTTTGTGACTGCTGCATTCCTGTCACGTTTAGCCGTCACGTATATTTCGTGTTCCCTTAGGTACTCGGTCGCATTGCTTATCCATACGCCCAGATATTTGTATTTATCTGTTATCTCTAGCGCAAAGTTAACTGCAGCGACCTCGCACTCCCTGGGGCAAATCGCACCCGCCTCGATAGGAGCCGTTTAAAAACTGAAAAAGTATCTATAAACGTTGCATCTGGCAGTTATTTTTGGAAATTAAGGAAGGCATGCGAGCTCGCAGAGAAAGATGCGCGCCTGTTTCGGAGGCGATAAGGTGTAGAACGTTAGATAACGGGCAGGCGCCACTACCGTGTCGTCTTAGCAAAGCGTTGGAAACGCACTCGCCTTTTTAAGCATCGCGTTGCACTGTCAGCGCAGCGTGATAAACGCCACGGTCTTTAGAATTACTCGTGTGTGCCTTTTTTTCTTCCAGTGTAAACGCACACACATACAAAACATCGACATGTTGTTATGGTGCCTCAGATATGCACAATAATTTCTTTTTAATTGACAATCGCACAAGCATGAACGCTGAAACTTGAGCAATATTGCGCTGTGGAAGGGGTTAGCCGTTTGGGGTATCGTTTGGTGCCATTAAAAAGACCATTACCGCGGACAGACAAATGTGCATACAGACAAAAATATTGGCGTTGAAGGTCCCCAAGAAAGACTATCGTCTTTAAAAATCCATAAGGAAACGTAACAAAAATGTAAAAGTACTAGTTGCGCGCACCGATACCTTCGAGGAACAATTACTTCCTTGTCGGACAGAGACACTGAAAGCTTGCTAATGCATGACACCTGTTCGCGTGCCATCTGCGTGGCCTTGTCCCTAAATTTGTCGTCGTTCTGTTCTCGCGCTATAACTATCGTCATGTCATACCAACAAGGCCAAATCGCCACACCTCTTTATCCGAATGGGACGGCTGGAGAAAAAACCCATACATGTATTAGAGTGCCTATTCTAGGCACTCTACATGTATAAAACTCTATGCCGGCCGCGCGCCCGCAATCTCGAAGGCCATGCTCACGGAGTTGCAGTTCAGTACGCCACCGCTACAAACATCAGCCGGTTGGTATAGTCCACGGGGGAGGACATGGAGTTTCCTAAAATTAGTATATTAGGAAACTCTACGGGGAATTCGGGAGACTGAAAGTGCTGCTCTGCGGCGCAGAAGAACAGAGAAGCTAAACTCATCTGATACCGAAGTAGTTGCCTGGCAATTAGCGGTTGAGCGTAGGCTAGCGAACATAAGAAGGCTAAACGTGCTGCGGAGACACCAGAACAAAGGAAGAAACGTCTAGCCAAGCCGCATCGAGGTGCCCGACGTGCGTGTGCCGCGCGCGTGTGTGTGTCACTGAATCAGCTGTTATGCAACGCCAAACAGAACCTTGCTGCATAATAGTCAAGCTAATCTTAGACAACCCGGAAAGCTAAAAAGGATCAGCTGAACATTAGTTCACGCTGCGTATATCCTGGCATGGCCAATCCTGCTGCTTAATTTTATGGGAGCGTGCAAATATGTTTGGGTTGAAGCTCCTCCTGGCCCGTGCTGACCACCCATTCGTTGTCGTTCTCACTTGTTGGAGCTTGGCCATTTCCATAGCTGCGTAGAACATGGTTGGCGGAAAACTGAAACAAGACGAAAGAAGAAATATCTTTCCGTGTCTCGTTCGTCTTCTTTCAGTTTTGCGCCAATGATGTTCCACACAGCTCTGTGGCGCATTTCCCCGAAAAGGAAGAGTGCGCTGTCAAGGATCGTCGACAACAGCACAAATAAGCTCCGAGAAGCCGATCGCGCGCGGCCGATGGTCCGCGCTGTGTCGTTACCGATAAAGAACGCGTCTGCCGGGAGCGCCTGCAATCGAAGTCAAGCGCAAACGCATTGCCCGCCTGGTACAGGTCGGTCCACTGTTAGAGGGAACACGCGAGCGCGTGGCTACCGCTCCGCCCAGCAACATGCAGCGCGAGCGGCAAAATGATGCAGAGGCGGCACCTGCTGTGCGTCGTCTGCTACTGAAACGCCCCTTCACTTCGCCCGAGCGTCAACGCGATGTCGCGTCCCTGCCGAGCAATCACACATCAAAAGCAGTGCGAAAAGTTTAAATGAATTCGTATTTTTAAGTGAACTCTGCACCGAAGAATAAGCTTCCCTCATGTTTGGGCCCGAGCTGGTTGGTTCGTCATAGCAGCAGGGGAAGGATCAGCGTAAATCACTTTACGCAACTCAAGATCACAAAGTGGCGACAACACTGCAGTTTCATTTCCTGTACAGTGCTGTTTTCGTTCATTATTTGTATGTATTGTTTCGTAAAAACTACACGCGTTCTTTTTTCTTGGACGAATGAGGGCTGTGTAGCAAGAAATTCAAAGCACTGGCCATCAGTGCGAAAGTTTTTTGTCTTGTGAAAGTGTTTTTGTGTGTGTGAAAAGCTTAAATGAATATTCTTATTTCCTTTTTGGATGTAATGTTAAAGATAAGAATGCGTGACTAAAAATTTTTGCATGGCTCTTTACTCCTTCGAATTGTCTGCACTAAGGACCTTAGTCTGCAAGCGACCGCGCCATGCCACATCGTCGCTGCACATAGCACAGCTTTAGACGGGCGATTGCATGACAGAGCCATGACAGTGTGGCCAAAGCGAGTTATCGAAGGAACGTTTCTCCAGCAGACGACGCTGGGCATGTACCTGCATCACTTTGAGCATGCGCTGGATTTTTGCTGCTTGCTGTCCATGGGCCCCTTCAAGGGCCCCTTCAAGGGCCCCTCACTAAGTTTAAGCATTTTGAGCTGACAAGCGTAATAGTGCACTGAGCGCTCTGAATCCTTCCTGTTGAGATTTGAAAAATTACATGTCGCGGAAAAACGCTCAATTTCTAATGAATGCCACTTGCCCTTCCCACGGTCATGCGCCCCAAGATCAAGGGAGTGACATACAGCAAGGAATGGTCCTGTTTTTACATCGCTCCTTTACTTCACACTGGCGGGCTCACGTCGCATACTGTACGCTCTTAATTAGAACTTTGTTAAATGCTACCTGTATCAATAAAATTCATGAAAAATGTTCCGTCTCCTGATTATATTTAAACGGTACCTCATCAAAAGTGTTGCACGTGACATTATTCTACTTGGCATGTGCAATCTTTATGTTCTGTTGTGTAGCATGAATGCGGAGTACTTTTATTTGGGCTAGCTGCTTCATATCATTTTGAAAGGGAAGCACAAAGACAAAGGGAAAAGAAAAACAGCACTCTTTGTCTCCAACTCTTTCTTTTCCGTGTGTCTTTGCACTGCCCTTTCAAAATCATTATAATGAATGAAAGCTGAGAAAAATAATAAAACGTGCAGACGAAATCTCAGCTTGTTATTATTTTGTTTTGAATAGCCTCCAGATGCTATTCACTAATCGGCCCTCGTTTAGCATCCGCCCGGTGGACCAGTCGCTATAGGGGGCTCCGCTGCCGACCCGAATGCCGCGGGTTCGATTGTGGCTGCGGCGGTCACACCTAGATGGAGGCGAAAAAGTAGACGCCCGTGTACTGTGCGATGTCAGTGCACGTTAAAGAACACCAGTTGGTCAAAATTTGCGGAGACCTCTACTATGGTGTCCCTCATATTCATATCGAGGTTTTCTTACGTAAAACCACACATACTGCCACTGCTACTACTACTGCTGCTACTACTATTACTACTAGTACAGTACTACTACTGCTAGTACTACTACTACTATTACTACTAGTACAGTACTACTACTGCTAGTACTACTACTACTGCCCATTTCGCTTGCGTTCGTCTTCTCGACGTTTCTGCATCGTGCCTTCGCCAACCCTGAGAATGCTTAGCTTGTGTTTGGTGCGTCGTCTATGACCCCAGTTTCAGCAGAGCAACGTGGTGTACGTTGCTGTCACAATACATGATCTCTGCCAGCCTCTCCTAAAGTACACGCACTGACTGATCCATCCCACAGAAACTGGTAATACACAGCAGAGAGCGCCAAATTGACACAATATCAATGGCGTAGGCGCACAAGTAGGCTGGGGCATGTCATGCGCACGGGACCTTGCTTACGCATGTTGTTCTTGGTGCGCATGCGTCATGTGATTCTCCGGCCCCGATACCAAAAGAAACAGGTAAAGAATAAGGCTCACCATGACTACATGGGACGAGAGGCAAGGTTTCAAGCTTGCTTCTTCGCATCATGCTGTGGTAACTCGTAACGAATCAATTTGAAAAATCACCATAGTAGAACGCTTTTCAATGGGCATGCAAGAACTTCTAGTGTCTAACTACAACTTATTATGTCCCCTAGAGAAAGACGCTTAAAGAGTAGATTGCAAACAAAAGAAAAACCGCGTGCACATCACATTTTTTTACCTGAAGGCGCTGCAGCAGATGGGTTACAACGTCAAAAAAAACAAAAAAAAACACGCCTTCATTGACACCACAGACTTTGTTCTATTTATAAGCTATTTCATTCTGTCATGAAACTAACAAAAACGAATTATTAGAAAAATTATATTTGATATGACATCCTAAAATTTTAATTACTGTTGCACAAAGAGGGCTGTTTAGGTACATTCATTTTCGAATGTGAGTTTAGTACGAGATGCTTGGCATAGAAGCGTTACCCGCAGTTTAATTCCATATAATGATAGTAATTTTCATCCTAGTTATTTTTTTATATTGTTATAGCTATCATTTTTAAGTAATGGCTTAGGACAAACCTTGAAGCGCTGTTCTGTACTTTTTCATGTTTGTCCCTTGAAGACATATGACAAGGGATCTCATGTGGAACAAGCATATTGAAGCATACAGTGAATGTATGCTAAATACACTGTTGATTGTAAACATGTCAGCACCTGTCACAGGCTTCGCTGTATAAAGTACATATAACAATTTGGTGACCTTCGCCACCACTGGCACGACCCATCCATTCAGGGAAAAATTACTTTTAGTGCTCCACGGGGCTAAAAAGTGAACCTGCATATGATGCTTCCCGACTATTCAACTTTTTACTGGTATACACAGTTAGTGGCGTCTCTCTTAGTGTTGAAATGCAGTGCACTTTTTTTTTAAATCTTTTCAAGCTTGGGATGTGCAGATGCACCTTCATTTGTGTGAGCTGAGCAGAACAGTGGCACTGCCTTCACTTCACATATAATCATATGTTCGTGAGCAGCAGCGTGAAAGTTGTTAGCTGAGGGCCTAGTGGCACCTACCGATGAGTTGGAGAAGCGCCTGACTTGCGAGGTGGTAAAGTGACTTCACATGACGACAAGCATTCGAATGACTTACTCCACCTACTTATATATAAAAGCATTTCTTTACTTACGGCAGCCACTTTTCGCATGGCTGTCTACGTATCTATATAGCTACCTATGTCTGTGTGCTCTTGTGACCACGCCCTTATCTTGGGGTAAATGAAAATTAGTAGGGAAGGGTAAGATGGTTTGACAAATATGATTCGCTGGTCATGGAAACATTAATGCCATAGTCCCGTGGCATGCATCATCAAACCCCTTTGGCCTGACCCGTGTGGCACATGCCTGTATACCAGGAGTGGGTATATGCCACAGGTGATAGACAGTTTATATCACCAAGCAATGGTGAGAACAGACTATGATAATTGAAATGCGTGAGCGTTAAGAAAAAGTTACATTGGCAGCATTGATTCGCAGAATGCCAACAATAATTATCATGGTCCGAGCAGGAATCCAACCCAATAATTTTGCGTAACAATCAAGTATTATGCCACAGAGCCACACCAACTTTTTGAACTGGTTTGAAAAGTAATGCTATGCAGGCGTAATGTCGGTGAAACGTAAATTGTTGTACCAGTGCTGGCTATCTAACTGTATAAACATTACACGTGCATTTCAATATACAGGCGTCACGTTGGGTTAATGTCACCTGCACTTAAGTACCATTCGCTGAAGTCAGCCTACGTAGCACTCTCCATGGCTACTTGCGAGCACAGGTGCTGTATTTCAGATTACCACTTCTGGTATTGCCAATTCCCATGTTGCTGTTGGCATCGTTATACAACTGTAAGCAGCTGTTTGTATAAAACATGTACAAGTGTTCAACATATGTCTGTGTGTGCGAAATCAGTACATATCTTTAGCATCGTTTCGTAACATTTCACTCAATAATAAAATTTGAACACAGACACCTTCCCTTTGTATGCTTTGCATAACATTGATTCATAAGATACGTGGGACCTGCCGTATTTTTTATATTAAAAAAAAAGGGTTTAACATGTCAAAATGAAGGTGGCTATTGACAGTTGATGGTTGTTTTGCAAAAAAAAAAAAAAAACTTCATGAACAGAATTCAAATTAACATTGGGATAAGTCCAATCCAAGGCATCTCCACATCTTTATTGCTAAGCATATACATGGAAAACAAAGTGACAAATAACTGCCTAACACAATTCATAAACACAGCAATCTACTCATGTGATAAACTTTATTAAACACAGCAGGTTCTTTATGAGTCAGCTGTCTCCACTAGGTGCACTTTTGTTTGTCCTATGGCCTTTGGGTGTGTATGTGCATGAAAGAATGTTGACAGCACATTCATGCACTGCATTTGTCATGTTTTTCAAAAACAACATTGCAGCATGCTTGGATCACAGCAACTGCTTTGTGTTCATGAAGCATTGTGTTCATGAAGCATTGTGTTCATGACCTGCTCATGGTGGCCAGCCTTGGCTGAACGCAAAGATCAGCTGTGCAACACAAAAAAGTTGATGATAGTCATTGAGAACTGGAAAATATATTTCTTCTCGTAAACAGCCAGACTTAATACAGCTGCTAGTGCAACTCGCTGAAAGAACTGTTGACCACTTTGTCACTCACTGGCAGCATGAAATCCAAGTTGCACCTTTGATAAGTTCCAGTGCTGTCAAGTTTGTTAATTAGAAAAACTTGCTTGGGAAGACTATGCACAAGTATGCCCACGGCCAGGTAGATAAGCATTGTCAGAGTGTGTGCACTGTATATATGCAAAACTGTTGAATAGCAGAAACTTGCCAAATCTAAGACAGCTATGTGCACGGCACAATGCAAAGTAATACAAGCTGTCCTACTGCTGCGTTGATCAGAGCCACCGTTCTCGCTTGTCGCCTTTGCTACAAGAAGCACTCTTTCATCATGAAAGAGATACAATGTCACCCGTGCTAGATTTCTTCAAAGTATTTTCACCACACTCCTGTGATATCTTGCCACTGCAAAGAGAGAAATTGAGCTTGTGCTTGTAAAAAATCGTCTGCAGCGGCTACCAGAGGAGTATTGCTAAGGAGATGCCCTTGTGGTCAAGTGGTCAACGCCGATGATGCAAGCCAATCACTGGGTTGGAAAGTGCGAAGGGATGCGTCGATCCAGTGTGTCCTGCAACAGATGGCCCCTCTGCCTCTCCCGACAAGAATTTGTACGTACCATGTACTCATGTCTGACGAATGGCAATGGGGCAGCTTAGAGCACGGAAATTTGGATATTGTGAAAGGAGTTCAAACAGTGGTAGAATGCTTTTCATTGCAGCACTACTTTTTATGGAGACTAGGAGCAATACCTATGTCCATTGAGTATTGCCACCACGACTACAAATGAGTTACTGCACACAATACTGCAAATGAGTTCATAATGCGAGTTGCTACATTTTGTAGCAGAAGCAGCATCTGCAAAATATGAATGAGTAGGTAAATACTCACCATGCTGTCTATGTTTAGAAAAAGTGACTAGCAGCTAGGTCGGCAAGAAAATTGTTAATATATTTATTTGCTCTCAGTAAGCTTGCAATTGAACCTTGTGGTTTGTCAGCTTTGACTAGTGGAGCCTGGCCTTTGTACTGGCCACCAGGGATGACTTCGATCTCTCACTCCAGACATTTATCAGCAAAACTAATCTAAGCTGCCCATAATTTGAACTATGGAAGCTTTTTTAGTATAGAAAGATGTGGGCACTTTGCACCAAGTTGCGCAAATCTTGGCACAGCAAAGCACAGGACTGTAGCTGCTTGTACTCCCCGTCAACCGACACGTCTAGTTTTGAGATGTGCGGCTTCCTCCTCAGAAGTACGCCCTTTGCTTAGACTCCTCGTGACTCTGCACGCGATGAAGCATAGCCAGGCAATGCAATACACAACTTTTTAAGTGAGAGGAGGATACCATTATTTCTGGGCTGTTGCACTGGTATCACCACCCTGGCAGTGCATTTTTGTGGTGAGTTGCACATGTTAACAATAGCCCAGAGAGGATTATGGTGGTGCTCTTAGAGCTTACATAAACAAGGTGCATGTAGTGGAGGCTTCACGCGATGTCTCTCTTGGTGGGCATGGCTTAGCTTCTGTGCATCTGCGGCTTGACCAGGGAGTGCGTTATCTTTTCGCTATATGTTGGGATACTTGCTTCCGACTTCATTCTCTTTTTCTTTTCTCTTTTTCTATTACTTTCTTTCTGTTTCATTGATGTTCTCTCTTTCTGCATTTGTTTCCATTTCTCTCGTTCTCTTTCCTTGCTATGTGTTAATACTTTCCCTCCTCACCAACACATTGCTCCTCACCCCCACTTCCCTTTCCCACCCCCTATCAGGCTATGCTGTGCTCTGGTAGCATGCTTGGATAGAGGAGTGGTTACAAGGCTTGCCCTTGGACCAGAGGTATGCGGGTTCAAATCCTGCCTTGTTAAAAGGTTTTTTTTTTGCAAGAATTTTTTTCTTTCTTTCTGTCTCTGTTTCTTTTCCTTTTTTCTCTCTCTCCCTCTGTACTCGTTCTAATACCTATCAGTGGTGAGTAGGGAGATTCGGCCAAAATATCTGTTCATGATGGTTTTCTGGCACAGTCGCACCAAGCCAGAATAGCTTTACTGTTCAAGGAGTGGTGCCATCAAATTTCGAGGCTACAACAAGCCTCTTGTGTGTTTCCTCTGTGTGCAAGGACACTTTACATGTATAGTCAGGCACAGTAAACATTTGGAATAAATACGAATCCACTTCCAAAATGTATCCAAATGCTCATTCTCTTGATCAAGGTCCATCGTGAGTGCATCTAATGCTGACATAGCCCTATAGTAAGGGCAAGAAAAATTTTAGTGTCATCACACCAGATCTGTATTGAGGTGAGCGACCTCCGCCATGTATACGTACCGGCAAAGCATCATGGCTGCTGCAGCTAGTGGTGCATTTGTTTGTCAACTGTTTGTGTAAGACGTGTGTGAGAGAGCAGCCAATACTCAGCACAATGTGCGTCACAGCCTTGTGTGGTCACGTGATTGGGCCACCTACAGTGTACATCACTTCACCATTCAGCGCCCAGAAACCAAGACGAAAGATATTTACATAAATAAGGTGATCCTAAAATTTTGGAGAGAATAAATGAATCTTGGTGCGTGTATCATGCTTCTTGGAGCTATAAGAACCAAAGTGTGTGCGAGCCACAAATATGGTGGTATCACCCCTTTAAAACCATGATTTACTCTTCTACACCAAGTGCTCTGCTTATGGTATCCAGGAAAAAATATTTACACTATGTTTGCTTCTTTATTCATTTAACAATACTGCCAATCTCATCAGATATTACAGCAGGGAGGGCATTTGAAAACTATTATTTGTCCACACGAAATCATATATGATGAAAATTTCAAAGAAGTCAGAATTACAAAATGACCTGCAAAATCATACATTATACATTACCACTATAAGAACACACAATCAGTTTTAGTGGCAACAAAATTATGGTCTAGATTGCCACTAAAAAAAACTGCAAAAAGATAAGGTATGCATTTGTAACATGGCATAGGATCAACAATTACACATTAGTATTGAACACTAGTATATTTAAGTATGATAACAAATTATGTAAGCGATAATAGGGTGGAGAGGTAATGCCATTATAATATTTGTATTGTATAATATGTAATATTGTATAATTAGAAACTGACTACGGACAAAGTGAATGCACCAACCCCCCCCCCTCCCCCCGTCTTTGTTTCAAAATGCCATTTGGCCTGCGCTCATTGCTTCATCCAACATTCGGACATTTATTTCTAAGGCTGCTTCACCATGATGCCTGGGCTGTTGTGTTCTAAAGCAAAAGCTTACTTTTCGATAGTTATTTAGATTTAGACTGCGGCAAAGCTCATGAGCAAGTTGCCTAGAACATATTTGGTTTATTAATGAACACAACTGTTGTCAAGAGAAAGGAGGTGTCATTGACAGAAGAAAATTGACAGCCAGTAATTTCAATTGGCCTGTGCAGACTAATTATAGAGCATTGAAAATATAATGCACTGCAAGCACAAGTGTACGTAATCGTGTGTATATGAATACCACTGCTTGAAAGTGAAACTGTCGTCTTTTTTTTTATAAATTACAGGTCTATCAGCATCAACTGTGGAGAGTGTGGGGACAGGAACAACTTGTACCCAGGCTGGAAGTCTGCCCTCTGAGTTTCAGAATGGAATGAGACATGGCACAGGCAGTGCAGTGCAATGCGAGTGGCTGTTTCAGTGCCATCGCTGCCAGTTCTCGACTTCTAAGCTTCATAGGTTGACATATCATCTGCTATCACACAGCGCAGAAAAACCTTTCCGCTGTGAAGTCTGTTCGAAGGCATTCAAGAGCTTGGACTCCTACAAAGCGCACATGTGCGAACACACGGGAGAAGTTCCAGATTAGTGCCAACTTTGCCCATATACGACTTCCTCCAACAAGCGCCTATGGGATCACAAGAGAGCTCACTTGAACACCACGTCTTTCGCCTGTAACATGTGTACATACACAACTAAGCGAAGGGCAAATCTCTACATGCACAAGCTCAACCACACAAGTGATAAGCCATTCAAGTGCAAAGTCTGCTCTTTTGCTTACAATGAAAAGTGGTATTTAAAAATTCACATGCTGTAAAACTTGAAATCATGGCATTGATTGTGAGCATTAATGGAAGTGGCATTCGTCATTCTGCACCTTGAAAGATGAGCAGATGCCATAGGTGCAATTTGAATGAAAGAGGATTGGCGTTCTTGATGCATGTTATTGTACATCTGAATCTCTGCATTTGTTGTAGCCATTGTGCATCCCTAATGACATGAATGTTTCAGACTCTGGCACTATAACAGAACATTTAATCATCAAGACAGTCGTCAGCATCACGCATTTGAACATTCATTTCCCAAAAGATTGTGAACTTAGTTGAACCCGAGTGTGTTCTTCAGTTGCACAAATGATGTTGCACTTGTCCAAATAATTCCCATTCCTGTAAATCTTGCCAACGTGTGTTCATCAAGATGCAACACTGGCAGTTACGCCGATATCCCCCACATCTGACCAGCTGTAGTTATGGAAAAACAACCAGCCAAAGCATTCTAGTATGTCCATATTGCCACACCCGTTTCTTATTTTCACTTTTGTTTCATTTGGTTTTCACCCACAAAGCCTGGGTCGGCAATGCTCAGTGCAAACTGCGCCTCTTTGTTCGAGAAGGTTCGCGATCGTTGTAGATCATGCTGTTAAAATTGGCCGCAAGACACAAACACTTGAGATTGTTCCAGAGCTAGCACAATGACCTATGATAAGGCTGGAATATTTGACGGCACATGTATAAATGCAGACGCGCTTCACTGCTTATCAGTTGATCAACGGCTGACGCTTTGTTTACCCGTTATCAGTGCCAGTGTGTATCACTGTGCTCTGACTTTCCATTGACCGGCCACAAGTTCAGCCAAATAAACAGTTTCATTTTCCAACTACAGTTTGCTCCCTTCCTCGATGTGACGACCCCATGACAGTATTATCAAAGATCTTTGCAATCCGAGCTAACCATGAAAGCAGTGAATGGGACTTCTGTTTGGTAGCATCTGCAATGCAGAAAGTGTCATACTTGTATGAAGAACGAAATATGAAAATTTGTCAAGGTTATCTTACAGTGGTGATAAGTGTTTTATGCTTATATTTTACTGCAATATGTCATTGATAAGAAATTATATTTTGTCCCCACAATAAAGTCCTCATGGTATCAAGCCGGGCCAGGCTTAAGCTTCTGTTTTTAGTGCAGTAGCATTAAAAAGCTCGTTTTACAAAAATTTTGGCATCTGCCAGGCATGAGCGTCATTAGTTGTGAGTGAAAAATCAACCTGTCCATGATCGAAAAATCCCAAGAGATGCAAATAAAGTAAATACTAATAAAAATTTACAGGCCCGAGTGAGGATCGAACCTAAGTCGTTTGTGTGGCAAGCAGGTGTTCCATCACACAGCCGTTTGTCTGCTTGGAAATACAGTGAAAGTAACTTGCATGCTTCACAAACACACGTCCTGCATACAGGCTTCAGAAAACAACGTGTAATGTACCTGCGTACATTGACTTTGGGCATTGGAACATGGGATTATTGCTACGACTTTGTTGTTTAAAGCCGGCCACCCATTAAAAAATGGACACACATTACTGTGCATATTCCTGTAAGAGCACGAGTCAGTGCAGAGCAAGTTTAAAACATTTTGCTTGCACAATTACTGGTATTTTAAAGCATGCTACCCATTGCACCGATGCAGCGATATGCGAAAGCTTCACTGGCACAAGTCGCTTCAAACTTTATCAATTATATTATAGTAATCCACAATTTAAACTTCTCGAGTAACATCATACAATAAAAAGTATGCACTTGGTGGTTGAAGTATGCACACAGACCAGGATATTGCTATAGCGTTCTTCTAAAGGCAAAGCTTTAGGGTCTCCCGTTTTTTTTTATTATGTTGAGTCGGGCAGACTTATTGTTCTTTAGCATTGTGTTTAAGCAGCAGGCTGAGACCTGGCTCAGAAGCATGGCCTGTACCACATTTCAGATTGCTAATCGCAGTAGGTACTACCATTCGGGCAATGGTTGTGTGGCACCTTGGTTGAATTCTCTGTAGTGTTTTGAAAATCACAAACTTAGGGGCCTGCAAGTAGCATGCAGCAAAACATATCCTTTTGTATAGTTTCTTGCGATTCCTGAACACAGGAGTACAGCAAATTGAGCATTGTTCATTAGGAGTGAGCGAGATAACGATGAAAGGGTGCCTCAATATTCTTTGCTACAGCCATTTCAAAGGCTGAAAGCAGACTTGTGTATGAAGTAGGCTTGTGTGAATAGTGAATTTTAGATTCGAAGTGAATAGTGATCTTGACTGAATAATTTTGAATCGAATTCGAATGGTATGTATGACATATAATAAAAAAAAAGGAATATTCATCATGACCTAACTAACCTGCACAATTTTTCTTTCAAATTGAAATAGGGGAAATGCCATTTTTTTCGTTCAATGTTGAAACAACCTTGAGAAGTAGTTTCGGTAGGATGCGAGTGATAACCTCTAAGATACTTAACGTTTTAAAATTTATTATACTTTGAGCATATAAGCCGTCATAACAAGCCTAATAAAACGAAGAATTGATTTAAGGGTAACATGTTTCTTTAAAGAGGCCCTGCAACACTTTTTCAAGTAGCTATGGAGCTAGTAAACACGCTTATTCCCTCACAAATTTACCGCTGCAAAGTTTCTAGAATTAGTCCATTACGAACGGAGTTCCAAAAATTTGTCGCACGCTGCAATTGCATTCTCTGTTCTCATCCTGACGAAATAGCTGGAAGTTAAGCAGAGAAGAATGTCACGGAGAAAGAAGATATGTCACACGCACTTCGTGACTTTGAGAACCTCTTTTTTTTTGCTTCGAATACGAGCTGTTTAGTGTGATCGCGCCCGTACTCGTGGACAAGCGACGGCCTCCCGCGGCGGCCACGGTAAAGATGAGCGCGCCGTGCTCAATTCAGCCAATGGCTGTGAAAAGCAATATTTGAGCTTGTAGTGTCATTTGCCGAGGGAAGAAAGCAATTTTTAGCTTTTAAAATTTATTGTGAATTACAGGCCGCATGCTGCACTACAATATTTGCCTCAGGTGTTCTCGGTAGCTTCGACTACCGATCGGCAGCGTTTTTCGACCATGTTCAATAAGTGTTGCAGAGCTCCATTAAATTTGAAGAGGGGCTTCACGGCAAAGCGAATTTTTTTAGGGTAAATGCTTTCATGGTTTAGCCCTCCTACGTTGCAGTGAAATTATCTTTACAGGCGGTGACATGCAGACTAATATACATCTATTCGTTCATTGCGAATACTTTGAAAATATTCAATACTTTAAATTAGAATCGAAGCAAATTCGAATACTCAACTGTTCGTTCGAATATTCGAAGCACTCGAATATTTGGAGAAGCCTAATATGAAGGCTTCGAAGCAGCTAAGATGTTATGAAATTCAGTGTCCAATTCTTGCCCGGACATCCAGATTCTTGTAATGGTTGGGTAAGAAGTGCGATGCAAGGAACAAAAATGAGAAAGTGGCAGAAATATGATACATGGTTCAATAAAACTGGTATATGCAAAAAAGACAGGGACACACAGTAGGAACGAACAGAGACAAGCAAAAACTTCAAACTGACTCATCTTGAAATTTTGTGCCTGGCCCTGTTCATTCTTACTGTGTACCTGCATTTCGTGCGCATACCAGTTTTACATTGAGGTATGACATTAATTTCACTTGCTTGAAGGTTTATCAACTACTTTTCCAAGCACTAACTATGATTTCAGTATTGTAGTCTCACAAAACGATTGCCCCAAGCATGAGCAGAGTTATTGTGATTTGTCTCGTGCTTTGAGTGTGTTCTCTTGTCACAGCAAGCACACTGGTAGCTACACAGGGAGGGATAGCATAGTGTAAACAAGTTCTGCCAGCATGCGTTGGGAAACTTGATTGCTCTCTCCTGTTGTGCTTTCTGCTCGCAAGCGTTTCAACATTACAGAGTTTTAGAAAACCGCACACAAACCTTGCGGGCGTAGCGCTAGTGTTCATCATTTAAAGGGGGTCCGCAACGATTACTGTATGACGCATGTGCGGTGGCGCGAAAGGCCAACGCAAAGCTCTGCATAAGTTGTTCTAAAACTCTATTAGCAAGCTACACAGTGGCAGCGCAATGTGGCAAGAAGCGACTCTGATCCAAATGATGTTTACACCCTTTAGAGACCGACAGCGTGCTACCTGCTGTTCAACGTCAAACAGCAGTTGCTGGCACCTCCGAAGTGAATGAGGAAAAGGGAGCGTTTGAGGAAATAGCAACCCTGCACCCTGTTTGTAAGCCCTCTTTGCCGTACCTGACCACGACATTTGGTTCAGATGTTCACAGTACTATCACTAGAATTGAATTTTTCACCAAGCCCAAGCAGTGATTTATGACCCCTTTTAGCTGCCTGGCTTTGGTGGAATGCTGAGCAATTAAGACAGTTCAGTCATGCAGTTAAAGTTCATTGGTTTAGTACTGACATGACCTATTATAGGTAACCTTAAAACGTAAATACTTCTGAGCCTTAACGAAAAGGCAATGCATGCTTTGACGAAGCATGCACTGCAAGGACTGCCATCTCCAAGTGCAGAGAAGGTTCAGAAGTTTCAGAAATCCTTCACCAGAGAAGGATTGGTCACCCTGGTGCAGTATCTGGCCACTACCTCCCACATGCATATGCCAATTATCTCATGGTTCTCAGTCCCCAGCAGCTGCGAAGCAAATGACCATGGCGGCGGTCAGATCTGCTATGCAACAGAGGGTGCTAAGAATCTCTGGATCCAGACAGGCCGCCATTGGAACCCGACCTTGGCAACGTTTAACGCTAGAACCTTATCTAGTGAGGGAAGTCTAGCTGTACTATTTGAAGAGCTAGAGGGTGTTAAATGGGATATAATAGGGCTCAGTGAGGTTAGGAGGACAGATGAGGCCTATACGGTGCTACAGAATGGACACGTCCTTTGCTATCGGGGCTTGGCTGACAGAAGAGAACTGGCAGTGGGGTTCCCAATTCACAGCAACATAGCTGGCAACATAGAGGAATACTATAGCTATAATGAAAGAGTGATAGGTATCGTAATTAAACTCAATAAGAGGTATAAGGTGAAGGTGGTACAGGCTTATGCGCCTACGTCAAGCCATGATGACGTGTCAGTTGAAAGCTTCTTTGAAGACGTGGAGTCAGCAGTAAGGTAAAAACACAGTATACTCTACTGATGGGAGACTTCAATGCAAAAGTAGGGAAGAAACAGGCTGGAGACGAGGCAGTAGAAGAGTATGGCATCGGTACTGGAAACACCAGAGGGGAGCTACTAGTAGATTTCGCAGAACGCAATAATTTACGGATTTTGAATACCTTCTACCGAAAACGAGGAAACCACAAGTGGACATGGAGGAGCCCTAATGGCAAAAATAAGAACGAAATAGAGTGCACACCCAGGCATCGTGCAGGATGTGGAAGTGATTGGCAAGGTACGAAGCAGTGACCGTAGAATGGCGCTGTCTCGAATTCGCCTAGACTTGAAGAAGGAACGACAGAAACTGATATGCAAGAAGCCAATCAATGAGCTAGCAGTGAGAGGGAAGTACAGGAACTCAGTCTCACTTCAGAACAGGTACTCGGCTCTTAGTGAGGAAACCAACCTTAGCGTAGATATAATGAATGATAATCTGACGAGTATCATTAAGGAGTGTGCAGTGGAAGTTGGAGGCCGGGTAGTTAGACGGGACACTGGCAAGCTTTCCCAGGAAACGAAAAATCTCATTAACAAGCGTCAAATCATGAGAGTCTCAAGTACAACAGACAAAATAGAACTGGCAGAGCGTTTGAAGTTGATTAATAGGCTTAAGGGGGGGCGCGGCAAGTAAAGTGCCGATTT